TTTAGATCAGAGACTTGGAAGTCCGGACCCTTGTATTTATTCACTGTGAAACTTTTTGGCTGGGTTTACTTTTTCCAATCCAAGTTTGTTCATGTGTAGAATGGCTATAATGATTATCTGCCCACAGGAGACTTCTGAGAATATTGTTGGAAATCACTTTGAAAGGGCTGACTTTTAAAAAAGCCCTTCATTCATGTCCATTTAATTTCATATAAGCTAAGTACAGACAGTCAAAAAACGCAAGGCTGAATCGATTCAATCTTCACACATTAGTCTATGCTGCATAGATTGATCCAATAAGCAAGTGAACAGACATTGACTTTTGATTCCAGAAATGCAGCCACATGCCAGCAGTGGCACAGGCCAGAAGCTGGGGGGTGCTATAGCATGCCTCCCTACTCTGCTGAAGCAGACAGCTTGAGCCAAGGCTAAATTGCCCACCCTTTTGGGAGGTAAGGGGGGGAGTTGCAGGGGAGGTGCAAAGCATCCTAGGATACTGGGGGACTGTAAGTTAACTTGAGTCTGGAGGGGATCTGGGGCAGAAGTTCAATAAATCGATTTAACCTAAACTGATACTTACATCCAGATTTATCTTAAACTGGTTTTGGCCATTTTGAAAGCAGTTCATATGCACTGAAGTTCTGTTGTGTTACAGATTTGAACCAGTTTCCAGTCACTTATAGTAGTTTCTGTGTAATTTGTGTCCCTAGCCATGTTGTTCTTTTTACTGTAACTCAACATAATAGCTTGTAATGATCACGAATACCAAGAATTTTTTTAATATGGAGCATATATGTACGTAACGTGGAAATTATGTGGCATATTACTCCATGGATCATTGCTTTTTATATTTAGCAGCTGGTTTAATAAACCAAGGCTATCAGGTAGGCCTAGACACTTGCAAAATGATTGCTTTCTCTGAATCTGTTCACTAAATTTTATAACCATTCCATTTCCATTGACATAAAAAACATTGCCATGCATGAGATCATTGTCTCTCACACGCTGTGAAGCATGGATCCAGGCATCGAGAGGCAGGCCTTAGCTCTACCAGAATGATTAGCATGAACAAACCCCATTTGAGCACACAAAACAGGTTTTCAGACACACACACACACAATATGCACTTGCCATTGTGGTGCTTGTGCAAGCAACCCAGGAAGGTACGGGATGCCTAAAGATTAGCACCCAAAATTCCTGATTGGAAGCCACTTTAAAAAAATTTGACTGGTTAAGTTAAAGTGCAAATAAAGAAGCTTTATTTTAGCTATCAAAAAGCAATGCAGCTCAGGTAACAGCTTTTATGCCTTTGCTTCTTCATTGTACTTGATATTCCAAATGCTAGTGATCACTATGTGTGTCTGTGTATATCTGTCTGTTTGTTTTATTGATTTAACTGAGTTATAAAGCACTCTGCCATCAGTGTACTATCTGGAACATAGTGTAATCTTTAAACAAAAAGTAAACAAAAGCTGAAGCAAGCGCCAAGAATATGTGGCCATTCCTTCAGATGAGAAAAAGAGCAAAAACACACAGGGAGAGGTTTTCCCTACTATGTGATATAATACACTTTATTTTAAGTTGAATAAAATGTGGCTTGAAGGAATAAACATAAAATTAAGTAATGGGGAGTCCTGAGTTTTAAGCCTGGGTCTTCAGGCAACTCTGTGTGACTTTGGGCATATGACTTTAACTTGCCTCAGTAGGATGGACGGATATATCTACTGAATAATCAGGAGCTGAAATAGAAACATATGTGGACATGTAGGAGTCAACTTTATATAAGCGTGCTTTGATGCAGATGGGAGTGTAGATGGAAGGAAGAAAGGTAGGTAGGTAGGTAGGTATGTTGGTCCATCAAACAAAACTCAACCCATCAGCAGGAGAAAGATCTAATGACAAGAAATGAAACAAGCCAGAAGACAGCCAAAGAGGAGCACTTTCTACATAGGGAAATAGGTTGCTGAAATAAGAAGACTTTTTCCCCAGTTAGATATAGGTGTAGCCTCAGGTGAGTAAAGAGTAATGAAATCTTAGCTGGCCTAAAGTGATGTGGAGGTCCAATGGGGAGACACTTCAATAATTGGTTCTCAGCCCTAAGGGATTTTCTATACAAGATAAATATTAAACTTTATATGGAGTCAAAACTATTTATTTCACTTATTCTCCTCCACACAGACATTCATCTCCATTCCCACTGCTTTAGTATACACAAAACTTTCTAACTGTCTGAAGGTTAGCAGTTTAATTTGTTTGGACGGAATTTCAAAAAACTGAAATTGTGATTTGTCATAGACCAACTCCCCAATTGACATGGGCGACTGGTGCCTCTGGTGCCTCTTGAGTCAGGGGGGCACATGTCCCCCTCCCCTCAACACCAGTCAGCGAGTGGGGGGCGGGTGTCCCTGGCGGCCAATCACACTGACTGCGAGGGTGGGAGCCTCCCTGGCCGATTTCACTCACCAAAAAGTGCACCGCTTTTGCTGCCGGCTCTGCTTCCCAGCTGGCACTCACAGGGGGGGCAGCAGTGCTCCTGCTCTCCCCCCTGCCCATTGCCTAAACAGGAAGTGCACCCCCTATGCATCGCCACTGCCACTTCCACAGTCTTTGGTAGGTCATCTAGTCTCTCTGGGTCTCAGGTCTCCATTTCTGCAAAATAAAGGTAGTATTTTACCATCCTGTCTCCAGACTGTAAACATTTCAGGGCAGCTATTGTCAATTCTGTGAGCTTGAAAAATGCATAGCACATTGGTGCTATTGAAATATAAATAAAAATACATTTTCCAGTGAAGAATGTATTGTTTGCAGCTGATGCAACAGAAAAGCATTCACATAGACAATTCTGCTACATGGCAGATAATAATGCCACTTGACATTACTTAATTGCAATGCGCTGAGGATGAGGAAATCCAGGCAATAAACAAAGACAGCTTCCTCGCAAACTGTTTCCCATCTGTAGACCACCGGTTCTGGATGTGGGCCATTCCCATAAGGCCCCACTCAGTGCTCCTTCTGTCATGTAGTTATGTCTCCATAGAAATCCAGGGTCATCATTTCTCCTCCAGAGGTTTTGCCAGTTTCCATTATTAGGTGCTTTGCCCCTACATTTTTCCTTTCCCAGTGATTCTGTTGTGTGAATAATAAAAAAAGAAAATGTTTAGAGATAGGTCCCACTGGAATGTTGTGTAGTGATATTGCTAAGTTTTCAGCACAGTACTTCCATCCTTTCCTCACTAGGAGTGCAATGGTAAAACTAGAGATAAAAAATCCAACTGTATTTCCCCCTATGTAGGTTAAAAAAAGGCACAGGTAAAGTATTTCATGTCACTACAGAAATTACCAGTATTGCTGTTGTCTGTGTGTTTATTGCTTTACAAAACACAGAAGAAGACTGAATCTTTGTCTCCCTGCCCAACCAGCTTATCCTGTAAATCAGAATCAAACATCAGAATTCTGGGGGAAAGGTGGTGTCCATGGTTGTAAGTCACATTGTTTCTAGGACAAGCTAAAACAAGTGTCAGGAATCGCTGTGTAGATAGCTACCTGTTGGAACAGAAAAAGCAATGGTTATATATGACTGGAGCACAGAAGTGAAGTCCTTGGCTTTGCCAGAGCCATCCTGTGTGAAATCATGCAACACTACTGTGTTCATGTCAGGGCTCCTGGTTGCCCGGGAAACATAAAGTGTAACAGCTAACAGTGGGCCTAACAAAGAGCAAACTGTAGCAATCAAAGCCCACTTTACATCTGAATGACAGCATCTGCCAGGATGCATCTTATCCGCACTCTCTTAGTATCTTTAGTAGATTTGCCCTGTCTTTTCCTGGATGCCCCTGAGTAGACTAGCCTTCAGTTCCCCTCAGTATAATATCCTGCTTCCTTACTTCACCAGCATGTTTTGAAGATAAATTCACAAGTCCATGAGGGGAATACAGCATGATGCTAGACATGACAGATAGGAACATGAAGGAAACATGTTGCAACCCTCCTTAAGTTTCTGCTGAGTCAGATAAGTCTGTGAAGAACAGTTTTGACATTCCAGGAAACAAAAGCTGTTCTTGCTGCTGAATATGTATGAGACTCACAGGGATAGGGAAGAGCTTTGCATGTGTACAGTGTGCTTGAAGGCCCTGCTGCAGCAGGAATGCAAGTGGTAGCAGTAATAGAGGCAGGATGAGGCACAGGCCTGGTCCTGGGAGATGCAGATGCAATTCTTGGCTCCGGCTCAGCTACTCGGAGTGACCTTCAGTAGTCTATTCAACCTATGCCTGAAGACCCATGAAATGGAGCCACTCTTGTCTGTCTCCCAGGGTCTTGCCTGGATGCTTGAGACCCTGAAGGAGCACATACAGCTCCTGGATCTTCCAAGTCCAGCTGTGTCCCTCTACCACTTCCCTGCTGGTCTCATTTGTAGAGGGCAGGGATGTAGGTTGTAGCATGTTGGTTTAAGGACATAAGCAGACAAGGTTCTTTGGGTAAATCAGATAGCTTTTATTAGACTGACTCAAATAGTTGGAAAAATTCTTCTTAGCAAGCTTTCAGGTATAAATAAATACAGGCTAAGGAAGCATCTGTAGTTGGTGTGAAGACATGGCTTCAAAAACCTGGTGTGGGGTCAATCCAAGAGGGAGGGGAGGCCTGCCTGAGCTGGGAAGGGAAAATCATGGGGACGTTTTCCTTCTGTAGGTGACTTAATTGCTAGGAATTTTACTCAAAAATCATTTCTGCTGAGGGAGTGGGGTGCCCGGTTTTCAGCTGAGACCGTCTAGCACGGGCAGGCGCCGCAACGGCGGGAGCGGCGGCCCCATCTCCCATCCTGCAAATGACCTCAAAGCGCGGCTGGAAAATTTGGGGGAAGGGAAAGAGGGGGCGGCACCCTCGAGCCTTTGTCCTTGAAAGCGATTGAGGGAGGCGGGGGCGGCGGCGCGCGGTCTTCCAATCACAGTGGTGCGAGGCGCGAAGGAAGGCGAGCCCGGCAAGCCCCGCCCCTTCCTCTGCGGACTCCGCATCATCCCTCGCGTCCCAAGCTCCGGCTGCCGCCGTCTCGCCGCCAGCTCCTCGCTGCTGCCTTGCCCGCTCCCGCCTCCGCGCCCACCCGCAGGTTCGTAGCCCAATGCAGCGGCGCGGGGTGCCGGGCTCCTGGGCCCTTCCCGCCGCACCTAGTGCGGGCGGTGCCGGATCGCCTCTGCCTACTGCATTGCTGCCCTGGGGATGGGCGGCGGGGAAGCATCTCCCCACCGGGGATTGGGGCTGATGCGCCAGCATTTGGCGGGGTGGGGAGAGGAAGTCTCTCTCTCTCAGCAGCGGGGAAGCGCAGGAAGCAGCCCGCCCCCGGGGATGGTGGAGGATGCAGTGGGAGGGTTGTGTTTCATTAGAGAAGTAAGGCTACACCTCAAGGGATGAACTTTCTAGTCCTCCTCCCTGAGCAATGCTTGTGTGAGGCCTGTGTTGCCTCGGGGCTGGCTGCAGTCTCGTTACAGAGCTTCGATGGTGCTTTGTATGGGGCTGCATAGGGCTGCCAGGGGCTTGTGCTAGATCAGTGGTTCTCACACTTTTTTGGAGCAGAGCCCGTATTCTAAACATGGATGGCCAGTGCTCCTCACTCCCAACCCACTGTCCCACAGTGTGTGGGGCAAGGGGGGCCCCAAGCAGCCTCTTGCAGGGAGGTAGTGGGAAAAGTCATAGATTCTCCTTTAAAGCTTGTTCGCGATCTATTCATATATTATTGCAGCCCACTTTTGGGCCATGACCCATGCAGGTTGAGAAAAGCTGCTCTCGATGACCTCTGCAGGTCCCTCCTAGCTCAGCTTCTCACCCCCTCCTCCCATTCTCCCTTTGTACCTGGGCGCAACAAGACGACCTGGCCTGAAGGTCACCCTTCCCCCTCAACCCCAGTAACCCTCCCTGGCAGCAAGCACTTTGCACAGGACAGGCCAGGAGGACCTGTGGCCACAGGCGTTGTTGCAGCCAGCATGTGACTCTCAGTGATGGGGTGGTGCTGTGCATGCGCAGTGGGCATTTCTTTTTGGCAGTAGGAGGCTGTCACGCCCATCTCCTGCCTAGCAGAGTTGGTGTTGCTGCAGGGCTAGGGCAGAAAGCCCAGTTTTAGGAACCACAGGTAAAGCTTTACAGTCAGTCACACACCCAGGCTGGGGGGAAACCTCCAATGGCCAAACTCTGGCTTCTGGGCATAGACATGAGCAAGCCCCCTGCTGGGTGGAGGAGCAGGTGCATCCTGTGCCCTTGCCATGAGGCCTGGGTATACCAGTGTAGTGACTGAGTTGCATCCTCAGTCCCTTCCTGAGGTTCTGGCTGCACTTCTCCCCAAGCCTCTTAACTTATGTGCTCCCGATCTGAGGGCAGCTAAAGTTCTGGCATCTTCTGGTCAAGTGCCTCATGGCTGTGGCCAAGCTTGCCGTCTGTCAGGCTAGGAAGGAAGTCCTGGCCAGTGGGAACCCAAGCAATTGTGAGGTTGTTTTTCTGTCCCTCCCTGTAAGGTTGTTTTCTAGTCCCTTCTCCACTCAAGTCTCCCCTGCAGAGTTTTGCCGGCTCGTGTCCACAAACTCCTTGGTTTCGGAGGAGGAGCAGGTGCTGGCTAGCGTGCTTTGCTTTGTGTCCCTACTTTGATCCCCTGTTGCTAACCTTTGACCGTTGCTCCCATCCCTGTTTTCTCATGTTGGTCACTGTCATACTTTTAGTGGCTTCCCCAACTAAGGAAGCCTTATAGTTGTCTTAGTGAGCCTAAGCCTACTGTTCCCCATTACATAACAAATAGACTTGTCCGTTCTTTGCAGCAGCAGTAGCTTCATGGTCTGCCCTGATGCCACTTTCTCAGCTATCTGCTTAATGTATGTAGAAAACACTCTGTGGTTTCCATTCATCCAGGAGAAATGCAGAGCCTGCTTTCAAGAGCCTATATGAAAACCAAGGAACATATATTTCTCTTCCCCCCCCCCCGATTCCTATTAAGATTAGTTAATTCCAGAATTAAGCTTGCCCATGTAACTTTAATTTGGCTCCCTTGTGCCAGTTTATATGTTGTCATGTGCATCTTTCAGTTTTATTCAACAAATGAAATGGGATGTGGCCATGTCATTTCTGGAAGAAAAATCCTCTCTTGCTTTTTTGCCTCACCTGATAGCCCAGTATGCATTAGGAAATTCTTTCTTGACCAGTGCTGTAGATAGAAAAATGAAGCAGCAGTTCCTGATGTAGGTGGATTAGTATTCTGTCCCTGCTGTGCCTGTGATTCATGAGATGCATGTGCTGCTGCAGCACATGCGTTTGAAAGTGGCATTTAGTTTGAGGTTCCTGAAACTTTGTGCAGTTGAAATCTGACTTGCTTCTGTGGGCTGTTACATATTAATACACAGAGATCATTATCCAGGTGCTCTGTCTCTCTGTTAAATCCCTTCTGAAGGGGGTTAATCTCACCTAATATATCTTGGAGAATCAGGGCAGTGTTTGCAAATGGCCGTCTACATGCAGCTTGAATATATGGTGTGCCTAAAGTTAAGTGAGAGGTTGATGCAACATAACTTTGAATGTTTTACTGTTTTGAAAGAAAGAACTCAGTGGGGAAATGGGCTCAGTGGTACGATGGAGTAATCTGCAAATTGATTAGGGTGGAATATCTGAAACGAAGTAAAAGTAACCGCCAAAATTATCTCAATTACAGTACAGATGATTAGACGCATATTGTTTATAATAATATTCATTATAGTGCTGACTTGCACTATTTATGCAGGGCAAAGAGGGGCATGGAGATTCATCATAACAACTAAATTATCATGTTTTTCATGCTTTCCATCTGGGTGGTTTGAAAGGATTTACAATAATAAATATCCTCAACGCACCTCAAAAGGTACCTCTACCCTGTCACAGTTCAATAGCTCGAATACAACAGTGACTGCAGAGAGTGAGAACATTCTGACCAAGTGAGATTTTTAAACTTGATTTGGTGGGTAAGCTGCATCTATTCAGGTAGAAGTAGGCAACACCAACAACATAGAGTTCCAACATATGTGCAGTGCTACAGGCACTGCAGTATTCAGTAACTTGGAGATCCATATCTGTGTATGACACTTAAATCTTGAAGGCTACTTTTTAACATTGAGAGAAATGTGATTCAGTTTAATCGTGTTTCTTTTTCTTGCAGAATACAATGGCTACTCTAAAAGAGAAACTGATCACACAAATAGCATCAGAAAGCACCATCCCTAACAATAAGGTCACTGTTGTCGGGGTTGGCCAAGTTGGTATGGCTTGTGCTATCAGCATTCTTGGAAAGGTACAGTGTGAAAATGTTGCAGTGCTAAAAAAAAAAAAAAAAAAGTAGCAGTTTTAATGTATTGAAAAGTTGGGTTGCCTTTGTTTGAAAATGAGGTGAATATTAAAATTAATTACATTAATCAATCATATTCCTTCAACTTGATTAGGTAACCCCTCTGTTTCATAAGAGACTAATCTTGCTGAATTTATTTCCAGTTTCTCTCCTTTGGCTCCTACAATGGCCTGTTCAATAGAAAGTTTACTTGTCTTTATCCGGAGGTAAATACTTGACTCCATTGTTCAGGCAGGTAATTAAGGACTTGTGAACAATAGGAGCTGTAGTCCTTGCCAGAATCTTCTGCCACTGATTCTTTCATGAGGCTGTTCTTTTGGGAATAAGTTCCGAATTGACTTCACTGCTGGGCTGTCATTAGGTATACAAGACAGGTCAGAGATCACTGTGAAATGCAGAGTAGAAAACAAAATAATGTATAGTCTTATTTACTGCTTGCTTAATTTATGTGAGGCCTGATCTGCAGCCCCCTGAAGTTGGTGAAAAGATTCCCTTTTGATTTAAGTAGGTGTTGACATGAGCTTATATTGCCTGGTTGTATAGCACTCGTATCTGTCAAAGCCTTGTGTGCAAGTGTTGAAGAAACTAAAAATTTGGAGCCAGATCGTTTCATGAACCTGGTTTTATGTTGCCTTTGCTTAACCAGGTATTTTTGAAGCCTCAAGTTTCTGCCTGTTAAAGGACTAGTTTCAAGCAATCTGAGAACCTTAAGATTAACTAGTTCTAGTGAAATGAGCAAAACAAGCAAAAGTTCATTATTTAAAAAAAAAAATCAAATACAGACAGGTATTTAGTAGGACTTAAAAAACACACAGGTATCTAACTCCTACTGATTTCAATTAAAGTAGCACTAGGCCCTTACCTTCACCCTTATGCATCTAAATCCCTTTAAAATCTGGTCCAAATGAAACCTATAGACAATCCCCTATATAGAACAACTTGCAGATTTAGTAGTAAGTGCAGTGACTTTTGTCCTAAACCTCTGCTTAAAGTGACACTACTCAGGTGACCTTTTAAAGAAGTGTATTCCTTCTGTTCCATTTGTCTTAAAATTATACATTCTCATGTGTGTAGTTTAAAAAAAACCCCAAAAACAAACAAAAAAAAAACAAAAAAACCCAAAAAACTTTCCTTCTCTGATATTTGTGAATCTCTTCAGTCTTCATCAAAGAGCTCTCCTGTGTCTGTTTCTCTCCCAGAGATATGAGGAAGGGTATTGTGGTACCCAAAATTGTCTATGTCCCTTCCAACTATTACAGTTGGGCCACTAAAATATCGCTCACAAAAATCTTTGCCTTCTGCAAGGAATAACCTTGGTGGACTCTGCAAGGGAAACCCTGGAACTTGCATGGAGAAGTTATAAAACAGAAAATAAACTTTTTTGCATGTGAAAGAAATATCTTTAGATAATAAACAGTTCATAATGATACCTGTAAAATTGATACAGTAGGAATCTATTTGATGTGACTGTTAAACCCATTATTAAATAGAGACTTAAAGTCATAAAAATTTTTGAAGGATATTTGCCTTCAGAATTTCAGGCACGCACCTCCAGTTAAAATCAATGGGTGTTACAAACATAGGACTAGCAAGGGGTCGTTGAATTCAGTTCCCCACATTTGTAGGTAATTCTTAACCTGAGGAATCCCTCACATTCATGCACAACTACAAAGCACAAGCCCTAAAATACCAAGAACATCCGAAAACATGCCACAAAGTTGAGGCCACCATCTTTACCCTGGCACTGCATTGATGAAGGAAAGCAAAACCTCTTGCAGTCTGACCTAGGGAAAAATGTCTTCCTGAGTTAATTTTAAGTGAATGGAATGACTCTCAGCAGCACAGCAAGGCCCTATAGCCAGGATCCTTTTCAAAATACCAGCAGGAGCATTAGTGTACCTCAGTCAAAAACCTCCATCCTTAGCTATGGACATCATCCCAATGCCTTGGAGAAAGGTAGGAGGGGTGGGAAATAAAACAATAGAATTCACAACGGGAAAATTACTCCTTGGTCCCAAAAGGTAACCTGTGAAGCTTTGGATTACCATTTGCCTTGCACACTTCCAGCATTATGTCCCAAGCTGGGGACCAAAAATACCTTGATTCGCCAACATTGGTTGTAGAGCCAGTATTTCCCATCCTATCAAACCATGCCTTCCTTCCACAGACCCATCCAGTTCAGTCTTGAGGTGATTCAGGTTTTTTGCCCCTTCCACTTTGCTTGAGAGACCATTCCAAAACTGTATTCCTGATGATTACAAATCTTATCTTAATTTCTGATACAAGCTTCTCTGTAGCCCACTTTACCTTTTGCTGATGGTATAGTTTAAAAAGGCCACCTCCTAATATTCACCTCTATAACCTGTGGTAGAACTTGGCCCTTAATATTTTCTCTCATGGGGCTTTTACTTTGTCAATTGCACAAATATCATTGCTTCATTGAGATGGATTACTTCTAGCGTCTCATCTCAGACTTCATGTTTTTGCTTTAAGTCTGCTGGCTGCAATTTAACATGTATTTGTACTAAAGTATTTTTGGGTGTTTAGTCATCATGATAATTATGCCTTGCTCTACAGACTCTTAGATTTTGACCCAACAAAATGCTGGCTGGCTGCTTCCAGTTAAACCTTAGAATGAAACATGCGCTTACTCAGATTTCCAAAGGTCTATTAAAATCAGATGCACTTGCAATTCACATTTTTAACTGTCAAATTTGCCACAAGCTGTGCCATTACTAAAGTTCAGTTTAATTTTAAAGGTAAAGGATCATGTGGGAACAAAGTATTTTGATGGGATGGTTTTAATTTCCCTTCCCATTTATTAAAAAGAAATCATTGAGATTTCTGTACCAGTTTAGAAGAAGTGGCAAATACTTTTTGTCACAGCTTTTAAAATGAGCTAGTTTTAGTAGCTATGTGCACATTCTAAGCTTTATGTGAGCCTCATCCTGTGGAACTGTATTCATGTGACTGTTGCCAGGGAACCAGATATTTCTCTGGGCAAATAACTTTCAGTATAAATCCCTCCAAGTTATTGGTCCTGGTCCAAATATTCTCTGACTTTAATGAGTATTTGGCTCCTGATTTCACTGGTCTGTTTAGATGAATAAGGGATGCAACAGCAGGGCCCTGAGACCTTCATGTATTATATATGTTTAAACACTTTCCATTCTGAAAGCACTTTACATATGCTGACAATGCCTACTTGTGACACAGGGAAGTACTGCTAGTTTTATAGCTGAGTAAACAAAGAACAATGCTTGTGCAAAGTTAAAACTTTTTCAAAAGGCATTTAGTAGCATAGATGCCAATCCTCAAAAGAGATTTAAATATTTAGAAGGTTATTTTAAAAAAAGTACTATTTAAAAAAAAAAAGTGCTGCCTTGTGTTTCTATGATTTGTTGACATACATTGATGGCAAGCTATGCAAATGCTATCTCTTAGATAAGCAGATACAAGACTTAAATGTCATACTTTAGAGAAGGAATAGAAAGTGTTCCTCTGTCCTCTTAAGTAATCTCGGGACATTTGATGAGTAGGAAAATACTGTGTTTATCTCCTATGTTTTCATGTGCAGGCAACAAGTAATTGAATTCAGTTTAAGGATCTGTCTTGGTGTTTGAATATTTCTGGTGGGGAAAAATTGGGAAATAGACCCACTGTTTTTTACTCTCTAATTAGACTATTTGGTGAAAACTGAACTGCTTCAAATTTTAGTAAGTCTTTTGATTTAAAAGTTAATTTGAAATGGCTGTTTGCAAGCCAATTTTATGTTGTAGATCTGGAGCAAATACGTGAAAGGAATGAACTTTCTTGCCTGGATGTTGAAGAAATGTAACTATTGTGACTAGAAAAGAGATGCGAGGTTTGTTTTGCGTTAATTAACTACACAGAGAATTGTTTTTATGGTAAGCAAGATAGCATGACTGTAATGGACCGAGTAAGGAATGGAACATGTGGAATGAATAGCAAACTTTTATTGTTGGTATGTGTCATTGTATTTTGGTTCTAACATGTATTTCCATGGTCAACTTTTGGACAGTATCATATCCCTATTTTTACTTTAGAAATTCAGAAAAAAGATTTTTCTACTGTGTGACATTTGATATATCGTGTAAGTTGGTGGGATACTTAAACTTGATAATGAGTAGTGGTTCTCTGTATAACTTCAATTTTTTTTTTGTCATTAGAGTCTTTGTGATGAGCTTGCTTTAGTTGATGTTTTGGAAGATAAGCTAAAGGGTGAAATGATGGATCTTCAACATGGGAGTTTGTTTCTTCAGACTCATAAGATTGTGGCAGACAAAGGTAAATTCAGATCTTCTTTCTCAAATACAACTATACTGTGAATATACTTTGTTTTTGAAATCTATGCAGGGCCTCCCATTGTGACACCAAATCAGGGCTTGATGCTTTAAAATTTAAGGGTGAAGTTAGGAATTGGGGGAGCGAATTGGTAACATTCTTAGATGAACTATCAAAGTTTGTCTAGACTGGGAACTGTTTTGGATGTTAAAAGATCTTAATCTCATGGCTCTCATGGTTTTTAATTACCCTTAGTTGGTAGGTGACTTCTTTGAGAATAATGAAACCAATATTAATGAAACTTCAGGATTCGCTTTGAGATAAAGAGTGTTATTCCTGTTTTGTATGCAAGGAAGCTCAGATGCAGAGGGGCTAAGTCACTCGGCTAACATTACAGATTGAGTCACTTGCAATGTTAAGAACAACATCCTGAATTCGCTTCTGTTCTTACCAGTAAACACCACCATTTCCTGAGAAACTCGGGCAGAGCCAGATGCCACCTTAGAGACTAAATCAGTCAGCAAGGCACAAATTTCCTTAAGTGACAGTCTACTTTGTCAGATGCCCCTATTGCTATTGAACATGTTCCCTTTTTGGCTTCAGTTTTATGTACCTGTAGAGCTAATGGAACAGTTTATTTACATTCTGCTGTTGACATTAAGTTTATTCATCTGTGTTCTGTTTCACATATGTATTTCCCATCCCCCCCACACACACACTTCTTATTTTTTATTTATTTTGTTAGATTATGCTGTCACAGCTAATTCCAAGATTGTGGTGGTGACTGCTGGAGTTCGTCAGCAAGAAGGGGAGAGTCGCCTTAACTTGGTCCAGAGGAACGTGAATGTCTTCAAATTTATTATTCCTCAGATCATGAAGTACAGTCCAGATTGCACCATTCTTGTGGTTTCCAACCCAGGTAAAAAGGCTTATTTTTAAAAAGTAAGAATTTTTCGCTTCTTGAGAACTAGACTTTTATTTGATGAAGCTTCTTAAAAATAAGTTCAGTCTAACTACCTGAACTAGAAGAATATAAACGGTCATGTGTTTAGAGTACTATGGTGGTTCTAACTAGTGGTGAAATTAAAAAGTGTGATTTAAATTTACTCTAGTTTAATGTCACTAAGGACTCTGACCTGTGGTTAAGAACCCTGCCTAACATGGTTCGGAGCTATGTATATGTTGGATTAAAAACAGGTACTGGTTCAACCAGTCTGGCTTAGAACCCCATGGGTGCGAAAAACTAAACAATGCATTCTAGTGATTGTCTTTGTTTGTAGCATATGAGCCATTAAGTATACAGGTACAAAGATATGTCTATTAATCGGAGTGAGGAACCCAGTTTAAGAATGTATAGTACAATTGCTAATAAAGTACAAAAACAATGCTTACATAAATTTTACCTTTTGAGATTTGTTTTCAGAAAAATATTTCAGTAATGAGATTTGTTTACTCATAAGCGATGTTGTTGTTGCTCGCTCACTGGGTAAAACCCAAGTCATTTAATATAGAACAATGCATCAAATTCTTATATCAAATTAGATCTCATATCAGTGGACATGTCTGCACATGCACAGTAATGTGCATTAAAGCATCACAAAGTCCTCTTTAGCAAATGCACATGAAAATAGGCTGCCTGTGCTTTTTTTTTTCCTAGTAGTTCAGTGGAGGTACTAGATTTAATGCGCGTTAATGACCATGTAGACACTCCCAGTGGTGTTGCATTCAAATGTTAATGTTTACAAAAGCAAGAGCTGAGAGAATGTTTTCTCCATATTTATAGTTCCTACTTTTCTGTGGAAAGAGAGTTGGGGTGCACAGCTCACATAGGTCAATGTGTGAATCTGTGTAGACTCTTTGATTCTAGCAGGAATCCACTGGCCTTGGGGCTTCTGGGAAGCCCTGGCTGATCAG